CCTTTCATAAAGGAAACATTAGGACGGTGTGTCTTAGTGCTAAAGGATTCCTCTCTTTCTAAAACATTAGAGAATTGTGTGGATTTGGGTGAGGAAAAACAATACATACAGTAGTGGCCAAAATTGTGGAAACCTTCTGGGAAAAGTGTATTTTTGAGGTTTGATGCAGGGGTGAAATGCTCCCGGTTCGGACCGGATCACCCGATCCAGCAGCGATGGAGGCGGGTGCTTCGGAGAACCGGTAACAAAAATCCCTGCGCCCCCCCCCCACCATGCTCAGCTGAGTCGCACGATCATCAGAGGCTTTTTTTTTTTACTTTTAATAGCATTTTTTCTACAACCTCATCCGACGAAAAAATGCTTTTAAAAGTAAAAAAAAAAAGTCTCTGATGATCACGCGGTTCAGCTGGGATCCTCAGAGGCTTTTCAAAGTAATTTTTTCTGCAACCTCTTGGCCGAAGAGATGGTAAAAAAAATGCTTTGAAAAGTCTCTGACGATCCCAGCTGAGTTGCCTGATCGGCAGAGGCTTTTCAAAGTATTAGAAAAAATGCTTTGAAAAGTTTTTTTAAAAAAAACAAGTTGGCCACATCCACCCAGTCCCATTATCCCCCCCCCCACCAAGCCACGCCCACAGAACCGGTAATAACACATTTTACATTTCACCCCTGGTTTGATGGCTAATAACACCACTATTTTTATTTTGTTTGTTTGTTTCAAGATAATGCTATTCCACTGCTGGAATGGCCTAGGAATAGCCCAGACCTTCACCCAATTGAAAATCTATGGAGACGACTAAAGAAACTGGTTAGTCAGAAGCGACCCAGCAATAAAACCCAGTTAATAGAAGCAATCCTTCAATCTTGGTTTCACATGATAACAGCTGCAGAACTAAAAGACTTGGTTCACTCCATGGAAAGACGTTGTAAGGCCGTAATTCATGCTAAAGGTTACCCAACTAAGGATTAACTGACATGGTGATTATTTTTGTAGATCTCGTTTTTTCTACGGTGATCATTTTTCTGGATCTCGTTTTTTCTCCGTGTTTCACTTTTTTTTCAATTTTTTTTTCACTTTTCTTCTTTATACTGTAACTGCTATTCTAATAGCAAATCCTTCATAAAAATTATTGCATTACATTCTTGATTAAATTATCTTTCCATTGATATATAATTTTATGGCACTACTAAAAAAAAAGGGATGTTATTAGCTAGTTTTAGAAAATACACTTTTCCCAAAAGGTTTCCACAATTTTGGCCACTACTGTAGTATAATATGAGGATTTAAAAAAATCATCAGCCAGTGCAGAAGACTATATAAATAAATTCTTCTGCATTCCCAGATTCAATGTTTATATACTTGACCAGACAAACCTGGTCAATCCTGTTGGATCATCATTTCTAAGATATTTCCTTCCCTAAATGGAGAAACAGAACTGACCATGGGCAGGCAAAGAAAAAAAAAAAAGCAGTGGGAGCAGGAGTGACTTCTGACTATCTGCCAATTTCCCCATTGAGTTTCTGGCAGGGAGCATTGTGCATGCCACATTTTTGATAACGACAAGAGCAACGAGAGCTGCATCTGATCTTCGGTCTTGGATAGAGCATACAGGCGGACAGACTAACCTATAGGCTCTGCAGGCTAAAAGCAGATTGATCTGGGGATCAAAAATACCCTTGAGAAATAAATGTTCCTTGCATGCAAAGTTCCTCTCCGCTTTTCTTTTGCTAGCATAAATCCACAAAAATTCAATACTATACATGCATCTCCGTATTGGCAGAAACCGCAACTGCTGAATGCACCTGGGTAAAATGCGATGGGGGGGCACAAGGGGGAGGGTTCAGCTCTCAATTAAGGTTGCAATCATTCAAATATATATCTGGAGATCCCCACTCCCTCCCTCCCCCCCTCTCTCCATTGTCTCTCTGTGTGTGCACGCAATTCTCTCTCTCTCTCCACTTCTCTCTCCATATCAATACTCTCTCCTTATTGTTCTTTTCAAATCATCTCCCTTGCATACTGCTTTACATTTATGTAATACTTTGTCTCTATGGAGATTCTCAGTCATCCAGGTCACGGTTGTCCCAGAAGTGCTTTTTCAAGAGGCAACTGGACTTTCTTTGGGTTTTTCTTTTCTTGAAGATGTTTCGCTTCTCATCCAAGAAGCTTCTTCAGTTCTCCAGAAAAAGCAACTTGAATAGAATAGAATAGAATAGAATAGAATAGAATAGAATAGAATAGAATAGAATAACAGAGTTGGAAGGGATCTTGGAGGTCTTCTAGTCCAACCCCCTGCCCAGGCAGGAAATCCTACATCACCTCAGATAAATGGTTATCCAACATCTTCTTAAAAACTTCCAGTGTTGGAGCATTCACAACTTCTGGAGGCAAGTTGTTCCACTGATTAATTGTTCTAACTGTCAGGAAATTTCTCCTTAGTTCTAAGTTGCTTCTCTCCTTGATTAGTTTCCACCCATTGCTTCTTGTCTTGCCCTCAGGTGCTTTGGAGAATAGCTTGACTCCCTCTTCTTTGTGGCAGCCCCTGAGATATTGGAACACTGCTATCATGTCTCCCCTAGTCCTTCTTTTCTTTAAACTAGACATAGTTCCTGCAACCGTTCTTCATATGTTTTAGCCTCCAGTCCCCTAATATTTTTTTATTGGGATAATACATTGGGAATAATACATAGTCAGACAGCTTCCTATACAGATTCATCCCAAAGCAAAATACAAATAACAGAAAGGGAGAAAAGTAGCTGAGGGATGGTGCTGGGAAGGCAGCCGATATTTTTAGGGCGAGGACCTGCCTTGAGGGTGGAGTATACAGTATAAAGTTAGTAAGCCTCTTAGTTATACTTAGGCATAACCTGGAGTGCAAGTAGCTCTTTCTTTCTTCAACCCCTTAAATTTGCACCCAGAACATTCCAGTGATGGGATGCTGCCCTTGGACCCAGCTCTATGGATCAGGAGGAAAAGCACTGCATTAGACTTCCCTCCCCAACAGGCCAAAGCAAGAGAAGCCAAACATTGTTTGGGGTGGCAGATAGACAGTACAACCAAAATATTGCATGTTTACAAAACCCCCATCATTAATCATTAGAAAAAAACTGAACGACTAAGATATAGGACCTACAAAATATATCACATATAGGATATTGATAAAGGTGGGGTTAAAAAAAACCCTCAATAAATAAATAAACAGAATAAAATTAATAATAATAAAAATAAAGTACTAAAGTATGCATGCGTGCTCCTTCCTGAGTGCAAACAACCAGCAAGACAGTTTCTAGAATTGCTTCCTACATCGGAAAGGAGGAACAGGAGAGAGAAAATACCAATATTCATTTTAATATAGGGTACAGTAATAAACTTAGCAACCCAGTTATTGGATGGAATTGGGAAAAAAAAAACTTATAACAAGTCCACCATGCCTCTGGTTTTTGATTGATTGATCCTGGATGATGGATAGCAACTTTTATACAGATATTCCTCAACTTACAACCACAATTGAATCCAATATTTCCATTGCTAAGGAAAGCCACATTTTATAACCTCTTTTTTTTTTTGCCACAATTTTTAAGCAAATCACTGCAGTTGTCCAATGAATCAAGGGGTCATTAAGCCAACCCAGCTTCCCCCATTGACTTTTTGTTTGTCAAAAGCCAGGTGGGAAGTTTACAAACAGTGATCACATGACCCCAGGATGCTGCAAACATCATCAGTTGACAAGCACCAGAATTTTGGTCATGTGACCATGTGGGAATGTTGCAATGGTCGTAAGTGTGGAAAGTGGTCCTAAGTTATTTTTTCAGGGCTGTTATATACAGTCAGTAAATGAATGGTTGTAAGTTGAGGACAACTTATAGTTAGTGTTCCCTGCATTTTGTTACTGCTCTGGCTCTTAGTTGGTAACTATTGCTGTTTGCTACAGGCCATCGGAGTTGACAAATACGGTTACATAAATAAAACAAAAATCCACATTATTCCCAGAGTCACAGTTAATTCTGAAAGGCGTGTGTCTGTACATGCGCGCATGTATGCACTCGTCACTTTTTATTTATTTATAGGGACTGTCACGCATGCAACATCTGTAAAAGATCGCAGATATCGCAGACAAAAAATGGTTAGGAAAAAATAACAGAGCAAACAATAGAAAGAAAACCGGAAACATTTCTACTAGGAATATTTACAAGAACATAGACCAAAGAAATAAAATATCTGATTTTACAACATCATAACAGCGGCTCGAATAATATACGCACAAAAATGGAAACACGAAGAAACTCCAACGGATGAAGAAGTGATAAAAAAAAAGTTTTAGAATGTGCTGAGATGGACAAATTAACAAAAGAAATTAAAGAAAAAGAATTACTATACAATTTGGGACAAATGGTATGAATGGCTTGAGAGCAGAAATAAAGAATAACAAATAGGGGAGAATATAAAATGTAAAATATGCAACAAATATATATATGTATATTTATATATATATATAATATATATATATATATACATTAGCTAATTGCTTTAGGGGAAAAAAGTTAAGCATTAATGGGTTTTTCAGGCATCTGAAATAAATATATAGAAATGTATAAAATTAGGGCTATTGGGATTAGAAAATATATTGTAATCAATTAAAAAGGGGACAATGAAGAAAATGAAACAATATGAGAGACATTGGGGGGGGGAATTACAATGGAAAACACACCACAAAGAAATACTTGTTAAAAAGAGGATATATTTATATGTTGTATGTTATGTGTTTGTCATAATGTGTAGTAATAAAACAATAAAACTTTTTTTTAAAAAAAAAGATCGCAGACATATCAGGAATGGGTTTTTTTTTAGGGAATTTCTGATGGCTAAAGAGAAACTAGCAAATTGATAACATTAAAGTACAGAAAAAACATAAGTAGCTTCCCTTCTCCACCCGCTGTCAAAATACCCCAGCGAAATAATACTAATAAGCAGAGGTTTGTAACAAAAAAATATAAAAGTGTACCTTATCAGGCTCCAGGCAACAGGAAACTCTCACATCACCGTTGTAGAGGATTCTCTTGGATACCTAATTTAGTAAAAATAGATTGAAATAATAATGACAATTTATAATGAATCATGATTTTTTCAGACCTGAATTTTACCAAAAATAAATAAATAAATAAATCCTGCTTAAAACTGGCTATATTCTTTTCTTTTTAAAAATAATTTTTATTGAGTATTTTACATTTTAAAACCAAACACACAATAGCAAAAGAAATCAAGAGACAAAAACAAAAAACAAAATCACACGCACATCAGCCGTTAAAATACAATATTAACAACAGATATATACACTTTTACAACTTTCTGCATCGACTTTTGTCTTTTCTCTTAGCTTTTATCCTCCCGCTCCTTCTCTTTATTTTTAAATATTCATAATTAACTGTTTTGTTAGCAGGATCATTATTTACATTTATATCCAGTATGTTAATATCAAATTTCACTTTATATTCTTATTTATTAATTTGATTTCTGTTTTCCAACCACGTATAAAGTCTATTCCACACTTTATAATAATTTTTATAAAAACTGGCTATATTCTTATACGCTACCTTAATCATTCTTAGGTCCTTAGTTAGGACTTGAATTATTAAGTTTTCAGCAGTCTTTGATAATTAACTCTCAGTATAGATTATCCAGACATCATAATAATAGTAATAAAAATATTTTTATAGAATAAAAATATAAATAAATTCAATTCTGATTATTTAACAAAAATGAATCCTGATTCTTTTTAAAAGAATCAGAACTAAACTTGGTTATTTTACACTCAGCAGAGGTCAACTACAGGACATTTATTCAATAGTAAACTTGAATAAATTCCTAATGGGACTTCCTTATTGCAACTATATTCGGCCTTGCAAATTTGGATTCCAGAATCTGTGTTTCAGAGAGGGAGTAGGTCATGGTTTTAAATCATGCATCCACAACCTCGCAGTAAAAAAGAACCTTTCATTGGTGTTATTTATTTCATTTCTATAGCTGCCCATCTCAATTCTCCAACTGAATTCCATCATTCCCAGTTATCAGCTCAACTGGATAGGAATTACGGTAGGTTTCCCTCATTCATTTTTGCCAAATGCCCAGTTGGAAAAGGCTGTTTATTTATTTAGTTAATTAGTTTGTCAAACATGTACGAGATAACAGAAATAAGTATAAACATGGATATTAATATAGGAAATGGGTACGAATAAATGGGGGCAGTAGGACAGGGACGGAAGGCATGCTGGTACGCTTATGCAAAAAAAAATGTTATTAAAAAATGTTATAAAAAACAGCAATGGTACCCCCAGTTCATTCTGTTTTAATTAACAAAGGTTTGACCATTTTGTTGAAACCTCCCTCTCTCTGAAATTGTGTCTGCTAAAAATAATAACGGAAGCATTGCTTTAGAAAGTTTTGAGACAGAAAAACAAGCAAAATCAAAAATCACCCCAATCCTTTCCAAACACGAGGGCCACACAGATAAATGTTGTTTATTATTTTTTAAGGGATGCTCAGTCTACCCTCGCGTATTAGGTGGCGAAATATCTTTACCGAGTAACACAACTACGCAAAAATTTTAATGAAATCTGTGGCTGTATGGCCACAGCCTGGCATTATTATTTTTCCTCCTTTCCCCCTAACAAATGGCTGCGTTAAACTGTTTTTCTTTTCAGTGTACTGTTTTTAATTGTAAAGACCGTTATAAAGATCTTTGAGTGGAGACAAAAAAACAACAACAACATGCAAAGGTGTTTTTTTTTAAAAGCAGGGATTATCCACAGGTATAAATAAATTGAGAAGGCCACAATGGAGGGATTGGTTCTTCTTGATTGGGTGTGTAGCTTGGCTTTTTTGATGACATTGCCTGGTTCCCCCCCCAAAAATGAACAACGGAGCAGGGAAGCAGGTATGCACTTTAATCCATGGGCAATAAAATGAAATTTATTATCTTTTGCAAAGAGTCAGCTATGCTAATGTAAAGGAAACAAAGAACAAAAAATCCAGAGCAATTCTATGCATACACCCCTTGAATCAATGATTGGGGTAGATTGTAGGGGTGGCACCGAAATATAATTTTATGCCTTTTTATTCTATTTCATATATTTATGTATTCAATTATATTGCATTTTATCCTATAACTATTGTATTTTACCCTACTCTTTAGATTGTTTGTATAAGATTTTATTGGCGATATGTGTTTGCACCTTGTGCTTTGATATGGCCTATAGGCTAATCAAAGCTATCATTTAAAACTGTATTTTATTCCAATTTCATTTAAAATCGTATTTTATTCCAATTCCATTTTAAATCGTATTTTATTCCAATTCCATTTTAAATCGTATTTTATCCAATTCCATTTTAAAATGGTTTTATCAGATTTTAGTAATCATTTGTGTCTGGAACTCAGCATACCCCTTTGAATCAATGAGAATCCCTGGCTGGGGTGAGGGGATGACATCCTGATAGAGTTTACAAGGATTTGTGAAGCAAACCAGTGATGGGAATAAAGCTCCCCTTTAAAACTTGCACTGCATAACCTGTTTTGCTCCAAAATAATCTCCTTCGAGCCCAAAACTGCTGTTCTGCAAAGAACAGGGATTGCAGCTGAAATCAGCATCTATTCAACGTTTCCCAATGAACTCCACCACAAAACTGCTGTAAGCTGACCTAGCTGTAAATAAATCCAATTTGGGCAAGTGTATAAAGAACAAAATGAGAAAAAAAAATCTACTTCTGGAGTGCATCTCTGAATTTTATTTTATTTTTTATAAAAAAAATTAAAACCCAAACTGTACCGTTAGATCTAATTACCAAGTTTCCATTCAGCACATAACGATTGATTCTCTCCTTTAAAAACAAAAACCGTTGGCACATTTTTATATACAGACCTCTTTTTAAAAAAACAAAACTTGCTGGTTTAAAATATCTAATGCTCTTCCGAGGTGGCATGCCCAACATTACAATATATTCTAGACAGACCGGTGAGAATGAATGAATAATAAGAGCCTCCTGAAACTGTTCTTTTGCCTGCCTGCTTTATTTTTTCTTTTAAGAAATGGCAGTTTGGAGACGCTGTCTCTTTAAATGTGATCTCTGGCATTTGGCCCAGGATCTCTTAGAGCAGATGACTCCTTTTAGACCTTGGGTGTCGTTTTCCTCAAGGATGACCTTTGCTTTGATGCCAGCTGGTGAATCTAGTGTGTTACGGATGCATTTATTTGGAAGGGATAGGTATTCAATTCTCACCACCGCCGTATGTATGGAAGAGAGCATCTCATGTGTTGAGGTTAGCATCCTTTTATTATCTTTGGAGTATCAAGAGGATATTACACCTATTCCGGCGTTACCACCACCAGCTCGCTCAAAGCAAAGCCACTCTAATGCCTATACCTGCATGCGCAGCGAAGTTCAAAGATTCAGTTAAAACTATTCAATGGTTGGGCATTAATAAACAGGAGCCCACGAAGAGCAACTTTAACTCAACCTTAGAAAAAGCAACACAGATTTATGAATTGAACAAGGCTGATTCTTCCTTTTCTCTCAAGGGTCTCAAACTAGCTTCGCAGCATTGTTGCATAATTAGGTTTCATAATAGCCAGAAAAGTATGTAAAAATTTCAATCCCTCATGACAACAAGTGCTGTATTTCTTATGTCATTTCTTATGTTTCGTATTCTGACTAAAAAAGAAGATTTTACAATGAATTGTAACATTCATTCTCCGCCCCCTCATTTTAATTTTAAAATTATGGTATGTTCTTTAGTGGTTCAGATGGCAACTGTCAATCCGGTAGCAATGGCGGCGGGTGGTTCAGAGAATCAGTAGCAAAAATCCCTGCCCCCCCCCTCCGCCCATGCCCCCCCAATCACCCAGTCGCCCGCTTGCCACTTCTTTTAAAAAATGCTTTTAAAAGGTAAAAAAAAGGCTCTGATGATCCCAGCTGAGCTGCCTGATCGTCAGAGCCTTTTTTTTTTTAACTTTTAAAAGCATTTTTTTTTACAACCTATTCGGACGAATAGGTTGTAAAAAAATGCTTTTAAAAGTAAAAAAAAAGGGATTGCGTGCCACAGCTGATCACTCCCCCCCCCGTGCACTGTTCTACTTACCTCATGCCTCCTTTTGGGGTGCACTGTATGTGTGTGCACACTTTGGATTTGGTGCATGGTGCGCACTGCGCATGCATTGCCAGAGAACCGGTAGTAAACTGGGTCAGATTTCACCACTGGATGGAATGTATGTATTTTAAAAATTGAAAAATAAAACACACACACACACATATATATATATAAAGAATCTAGTCAACAACAGTCCGCCCTAAATTGGCACTAGATAAGAGTCCACAGGAATTCAAGAGGAGTTGGACTTAAACAACAAAATTCAACAATTGTAGGCTGCATCCCCTCTTGAGGATGTTCCCAGGCCCTGCCTCTTCTTCTCTTACAGGCCTTAGAAAATTGTAAAGGGAATAAGAAATGGCCTTGAAGGATAGGAGGAAGAGATGCTACCAAGGCAACGGTCAGATAAACGGGGCTTGAGCCCAGGCCAAGAAAACAACTTATGAAAAGATCTCAGAAAGGTTCTTTCCTAGTTCAGCTGAATATAGACCAGGGATCTCCAACGTTGGCAATTTTAAGAAAACCTTGGCAACTTTAAGAGCTTTGCTGGCTGAGGAATTCTGGGAGTTGAAGTCCACAAGTCTTAAAGTTGCCAAGGTTGGAGACCCCTGATATAGAGGGAGGGGGAGGCACACCTGGACTTGCAGGATTCTGTTACTAAAGCTATTTACAATAGAAAGTAGCCCTGACCTAAATGGCATTGCTTTCTTCATCTGGTCTACTTTGGTTGACAGAAACATACTAAACAGACCACTATCTCAGAAGGAAGGGGAAAAAAACTTACATCAGGACTTATAGATAAATCTTGGAGTTTATTCAGAAACAATTAACCTGCAAGGATAGTTGACCTGAGGTTAGCACTTTCTTCCAGCCTTCATAACATAACAGTAACAGAGTTGGACGGGACCTTGGAGGTCATCCAGTCC